AGGGAACTCTGCAAAAAACGCATCTTCGCACGGGCAGCCCGTGCGTTGGCCAATTTTTCTTATTTGTGACGCTTTATTGTTTTTCTCTCTTTACTGTTGTCTCCAGTTCTTGCCTCGAGTTCCTAACTTGTACCCTCATTCCCCTTCTCCACCCTGTCCCCAAATCCTGCTCGCAAACAACATCTAGGCCCCTCTCCATCCCTACTGTAACAGCACTGTGCAAGCAAGCAGTATTTTACTTTTCCCTACGCCAGGTTTCTACAGCAAATACCAGTAGCACAGTTCCTCATCCTTTCCGTTCATCACGACTCCCCTTCTCTCCTCTAAATATAACTAACCGATAAAGGTGATACGCCATTCATCCCCTAAATCCACCTATTCCAGCCAACCTTCCTTGCCACAACGAAACGCGCAACATATCACTCCTCCTTTCATCTACCAGATTCAAACTCCCACCATCCGCCGTGGAGTAACTCTGCAAGCCGTCGGAGGGAAAAATTTCTTGCGGATCGTTCATGATACTGGCCAAGTCGAGCCGAGTTTTCGTGACTGCCCCATCAGCGGTGTCCAGCGCCCCACATGGCAGTGGGGTAACGAGACCCGAAAAAATCGTTTGTAGATCGTGTATGGTGCCGACCGAGTTTTAGTGGTTGCCGAAAATAAACCTACTGCGAGTCTGTCCTGCACGATTAGTGACACGTGCCGAGATTGCCGGCTCAGTTGTATGTTTCTGCACAGTTCTATGCATTAATAGAATTGTTCATAGAAAGAACGTTGCAGTTTCGCAGCTTAACATGTTGTTTTATATGTTTTCCTCGGCGTTCAAGAGAAGAGCCACTGGCTGAGCCGGTGATGTTGCACTGTAGGGCGTAGCAGAATTCCAACTTTCTTACATGACTGACTGCCATGAGAGGAGCATGCCGACAATTTTGCAGTTGGGAATCAAATGTGTTCGGGTGCCTGACACACGTGTACAGTAGAGCTCATTTTATGCGCACAGACACACACACACACACACACACATATGCACAGCAAATATCCTCGTAAAATCACAGTATTCTATCTATTCTGACTCCTGAGTTAAAAGAGTAGCTGTAGTTTTCCAATTCGAACTTACACATGTACAAGACTTGAGACAAAAGACAGAGGCCGTATTTACAAAATCTGAGCCTTCTAGCTCGACTAGTCTCCGAAATACGCATTCCTACCACAATAAATTGGAAGTGCTCATGAGAAGTAATGTTCATTTTGCATCTGAGCAACTCATCACAGTGATCTTCCAAGAATCTTGCGGATCAAAATAGGTTGTGGAATTCAATAGGGGACGCTCTCCAACCTTATCTCGCTCATGTCCCGACCACCACATATATGCTGAGAACTTACTTACTTTCTTTAACCTGTTCCTCAATCCAATTACATTTGCTACAGCTACAAAATCAGGAACAATAAATGAAAAAAATCATGAGAACCAAGTGAGCTCTCCAGTACAGACAGAGGGGAAAAGACACAGTGCGAGGTTTCAGGCACTAGTTAAGATGATACAATTTCAAAGTAAGATGCTCACGATACAAGTACAAGGACAAATGGTGGGAAACTAAATCCGAAACCGACACGAGCGAAGATATCAACACTCGCCACATGCAGGCAGGTAAAAAAAAAACGCCATTCGAGTAAGACCTGTGCTTTGATCAAAAAAGCCGCAGCAGTTGGAGTGCGCCTAGGTTAACGCAGCAAACCTAATAATTTCACTAACATCCGACACTCACAGGACCTCGTATCTGTGCTAGTGATTCTCATCATCCTGATCATTATCAACCAAAAATATTTCACTCTTCTCATAACGCTGTCTCGTAAGATGCATTATGTGCTGCTTCTTGCTCTGTTTCCCTGATATCTGGAAATTCACGTCTTTCTTCATTCCAAGTCCTACACGCTCAGGGCGAACTTCACAGATTATCTGAAAACAAATCAGTCATTTGTTTTTTATGAGTTTTATGCTGTGCAACAGCTGCACAAAACGCATATTGTTACGGGTTATCTGTGTGTGTATGTGCGTGTGTCCGATGCATCTTGTCCGTAGCTTTCAACTCGGGAACCTAAAGTAATGTTCCTCGTCCACGAGTAATGTTCCTGGTCGCAAATTTAATTTTTGCGTTCCCCCTCCCCCAGGTACCACGTACTACCCGTGGAAGTTTTGACGAGCAGTGTTGTTATCAAGGGGATTATGCTGAAATTTTAAAGCAATAACCTCTGCTCACGTGTAACCTCGCAGCATTCTGCCTTCCCGCGCGCCTAGGTACTACGTATGACCCCGTAAAAGTTTTGGGAGGAAACTTATCTCAGGAACCACGAAAGCTAGAAGGCCGAAATTTTCCCTGCCCGCGTAAAACCCAGCATATTTAGAATAAGCCCTCCGCGCGTCCGGACAACACGTGTAGTTTCGTGAAAGTTTTGGCGGATAAAATCACTATTTTGGGAGCAAGAAAGCTGAGGGCTGAAATTTTACGGTAATGTCCTCTGCCCACATACAACCAACTGCAAATTTAAAATCGGCCTTTCTGCGCGCTCGGATATCGCATACGGCCCAGTGAAAGTTTTGGCGGGGAAAATTATTATTCCGGGAACCATGAAAGCCAGGAAGCTGAACTTTTTGAGAAATGACCTCTGCCCACGCATGACCTCTCAAATTTAAGTTTCCTCCCCCCCCCCCCCCCCCCCCCCCCCCCCCCCCCCCCCCCCCCCC